AGTAGCATTCCATTCAGTGTGACTGCCCGAGGCTAAACATCAGCATGGGGGCTTGGAACATCTGTTATTTGTATCAGGATGATCGGTTGCCCTACTGTCAAGAGACTGGGAAGGAGAGAGTTTAGATGGCTGCTCTCTCAGAAGTGAGAAGACCTTGCAGCGGCATGATTAGTGCAGGTGGCAGTGATGGTCACCATCTTCAAGAAGTAGCCATAGCCATCTCCAGACTCCAGCCCTCAGTGTACAGGTTACTCTGGTCAAAGAGTATATGATGGTATTGAGATGAAGTTAGCTTTTTGGCCTATATTCTCTTATTGCTGTGTACGCTCCTACCGATATTTGTGAACTCGATGTGAAAGAGATGTTCTTCACCAAACTTGCATCTATGTCAGAAAGTTGTCCTTGGCAAGATATTCGTATTGTTCTGGGTGACTTCAAGCTGGCTATGAGATGTCTGTCAGTCCCCAGGGTTTGAGAGCTGATGCCTGCAGCAAGAATAGCCTCTTTTTCCATGACTTTGCAAGGTTCCAGAAATGGAAGATTTCTGGCTCTTGGTACCAGCTCTTTGACCCACATCATTGGATATGGTACAGCAATGCGGGTAATGCAACCAAGGAGACTGAACACATTGCACTCATTGGAGGATCCTCCAGAACTGCAGAGTATATAGGAGTGCCAGATTCTGTGGTACTGACCATAGAGTAGTTGTGGCTACCCTCCATGTCCACATCAAAACTCCCCAGCAGTCCAATGACCACCCTAAGGTATTTCATTTGGACAGACTGAGGGAGGGGGAGTGTGCCCGGGTGTTTGCTGAGGTAATTTCAGGTCATTTCACAGTGCTCGACAATCTGATCGACCCTGTACTTCTGTGGGACACCTTCAAGAGCGAAACACTTGATGCAGCTCAAGAATTGATTGGTGAACGCCCAAGAGCACAACAAAATTTTATCTTGCAGGAGATACTGGAAGCTACAGATGCTTATCATATGGCTCGCCTGACTGGGGATCTGGATTTCCACTGTTCTCAGATTTGCAGAACTCGGTCACTGTTGAGAAGGAACAAGGAACAGTTTATTAGGAGTCTTACAAAGGAAGTCAAAGAACATTTCCAAGCT